AATGTTGACTAAACGTTCTGCACCGTCAAAGGCAACTCTTTTAGCACCCAAAAGGCAGAGGAAGATGCTAACCATCGCACAAAAAGTTGAACTTCTGGACATGTTAAAGGACGGTAGAAGTTACGTGGCTGTAGGCGCAATTACAGAATAAATAAATGAAGATAAAATGGTTTGATCTTTGATTTCATTTTATAACACTGGACTTACTTTTTATATAGGGGTTTAACTTTTATAGTGTTTAAAGGGAGATGAAAGTGTGAAAATAATAATGAACGAAGGGTTTTACAGCCTTAAAACATTTAAAATAATTGTAGAAAATAAAGCTGACTACTTCGCATTTCATCTTGTAGGTTATTTTTAGAATGTAAAGGCTGATTTATACTTCTGCATTGAGTGATTGGCTTTACCCACGGCGCCTGCCTTTTTACTTCTATGCACCGTTTGTGCTGCTCTGCAATAACACTTTTGAAACACTAGCTGGCAGTAGGTTTTTATGTTCCTCTGTGTCGTGTTTCTTTGCTGGTGTTTTGTTTTTTCTGAATGCTCCAAGTAGCTAAAACTCACTCATTCTGAGGCAGGAACAGGTGGACTTGCAACATCTTTAACCACAAGGTAAACACAAAACAAAAGTTTCCATCTGGATCACATTCACAGGACTCCACACTTGTAAACACTCGCTACATCGGGCTCATTGCTCTCAGCATCACTCACACTTGTCATAGCTACCAGGCCAACCAATCACAACGCTTGCGATACGCATCGTTTCGATGTAGTTACATTGTGTACATGTGTGTAGTTACATTTTTTTAAAGAGATGCGTCAGCCACAGCAAGGGCTATGCAACCGCATGCAGGCTGCGCCGGAGCATATGCTTGATGCAGAAGTATAAATCAGCCTTAACTCCTGCGAATAACGAAGGACCACTGGACTTGCAATTTTACAGGCTTATTACTAAAACTGGAGTATTACTATCAGTTGTGAGATTTGTATTTTATTATTCTATTTGTGGTTCAATTTTGCTGTAATGTGATTATAGCATAGGTTAAGTAAAAAACTTGAGTTTTGAGGAATACAGTTGAACCCAGAAGATTACATACACTATAAAAAGGCACATGACCATTAAAAAAAATAGTCAGATAGTGATGTGACTACATTTTTTTCTTTTTTAGGTAAGTTAGGATTATCAAATTTGTTTCTGTTATGCTTAATAGCAGAATAATGAGAGAGATATTTTTTGAGAAATTCTTATAACTTTTCTTGAAAGTCAAGTTTACATACAATACAATTATTCTGCCTCTGAAAAAGCCTCAGATGATGATGTAAAGGTTTTGGAAGTTTCGGATTGGCTGATTGACAATGTTTGAGTTAATTGTGGGTACAACTGTAGAATAGTATTTAAGAAAAACCTCAAACATACTGCTTCCTTGTGTGGCAACATGGGAAGATCAACAAGCCAGGATCAACATAAAAGCAAGATTACAGTTTGATAAATTACACTGGGAAAAATAATATTTTTGGAGATATGTCCTGTGGTCTGATGGAAATAAAATTGAACTGTTTGGCCATAATGACCAGTGTTACGTTTGGAGGACAAAGGGGGAAGCTAACAAGCCTAGGAACACCATTCCAACTGTAAAGTATGGGGGCGGCAGCATCCTGTTGTGGGGCTGTTTTGCTCGTCCACTTGACAGCATAGAGGGCATCACGAAGAAAGAACATTATGTAGAAATACTGATGCAACATCTCAAGATATCAGCCAGGAAATTATAACTTGGCCACAAATGGGTCTTCCAAACAGACCATGACCCTAATCATACTGCCAAATTAGTTAAAATGTGCTTTAAGGACATGTTTTGGAGTGGCCATCACAAAGTCCTGATCTCAGTCCTACAGAACATTTGTGGGCAGAGTTAAGCTTGTGCAAGCAAGACAGCCTACAAATCTGACTCAGTTACACCAATTCTGTCGTGAGGAATTAGCCAAAATTTCTTTAAACTATTGTGAGAAGTTTGTGGAATGATACTCAAAACATTTGACCAAAATTATAGTTTAAAAGCAAAGCAAAAAATAAAAATAAAAAACAAGGAAATGTATGTAATCTTTTGACTCTCTAGAAATTAATAAAAAACTCTCCAAAATAAATCTCATTATTCTGGTGTTTAGCAAATGTAAATTGTTTAGGTAATTCTAATGGACCTAAAATAGTAAACCTTGAGTATGATTTACCATCAGACATTGTTTTTAAAAATGGTTATGTACCTTTTATTAGAATGTATGTAAACTTCTGTTTTTTACTGTATGTTGTTGTCATTAAGTAATAAGTTATTTACATTGGGCATGCATTTATTTATTTATTTTTTTGATTTTTCAGATGAAGATGAGGATGATGACGAAGATGAAGACTTCGAGGACGATGACGAATGGGATGATTAATCCCCCAACACTAACCCCACCCAGTAGAGTAAATGATACTAAATTCTCACTTCCCCAAATTTTACTCTCATTCTGTGCATTTTTTCCCCCCAAATCGCTGTATATTTTTGTTGCCTTTTTTTTAATAATCTGTGCAATACCTCATGTAATCTGTAAAGTATTGTCATTTATCCTCTGTAAAATAATCTCCTGGAATAACCATGTGAAGATTTTATGCCAGGAATTCATGATTTGTTGACCTGAATGTTTTTGTTTCCCTGCGAGTGGGGAAAGGGAGATGGACGGGACGCTCCACGTCCTTATTAATTGTTGATTAATGATTTAGATAACACTATTTTCATACCCTACTTTTCTGTACCTTCGATTTTCTTATTCAAATCCTAGTTTAGCATTCTTAGATTTGGTAAGAGGTTCTCCTATCAGAATATGTATGTCCCCTGTATTGTTTCCCTTGTAAATGTACACCAGGCTGATATATTGAGGCTATATATATTTTTGCACGAATAACAAGAAAAAAAAAAGGAAATTCACTGCAGGAAAGAGAACACATTGGCTGAACTCTAAGTATGATTTCTGTGGTAATCACGATCAGCGTCACACTACATTGCACGTCACAAAGTAGACAGTTTGGAGTTTTTGAGATCACTTTATTAACGAGAAAATAATATACGGTAGATTCCAACTGGCAAAGTCATGAGTACAGCTTGCTCTTAAATGTGAAAGCCATCAGTTCACACAAATATAGAATTTCCTGTCATATCAAGTAAAAACGACAAAAAAAAGCACTTCACAAAATGCAATTTAAAGTTCCGTTTGTTACAAGCTTTTACAGGTCAATGTTTATCTGACAGCTACATTTAAGGTCAAAAAATAAATAAAAGAGGCAAACCTTTGTGTACAATTAATGCTGGTTTAACAGTATTGTTTGTCTGGACTGAATTTGCTGTCCTTGTCCTGTAAGGATAGTGCTGAAATAAATTGTAAAATTGACATCAGATCTTACAAGAGGAGTGGAATGTGGAGAGAAAACACTAAATTCTATACTTAAATAAATGGTAATATTTACAAACCTGAGATTTGGTGGTTTTCTTTTTAGTAATAACATTTACAACTTTACATGTAAAATTAAAGGGCTGTCAGGAAAGTGGGTGAGTCCTGCTTTGTTTAGGTGTGAGTGTCAAGTGGCAAAAGAGGGAAGGGTTTGCATGAAAAGGGGAGTTTCATTACATGCGTGCGCTGATTTTCACTGCGACAACACAAACACGGACGCAGGGGAGATGGATGCAGTGCAGTGCAGTCAGAAATCACTCAGAGGTGCATTTCTCAAAAACGACATGACTCATGGCTGAACTATTATTGTACATTGCATCGTTTGTGAAATGAACGATGTATTGACAAGTGTTTCCCTAAAACCATTGTTTCTCTGTCGCAGATTCATCGTTTGAACCACATTAGTTACAATGTAAAACCTCCACAAGGACGCTCTAAACAAGGCGGAGTAACAACTTCTTTAGAGAAAATACCCATCATTTTTGGATTCAAATTATATTGCTTTACACACACACACACACACGCAGTTGAAAAAAATCCAATATTAGTTTTGGTAAAAACATGCACTCTGAGAATATTATTATAGAATTATTATAATTCCATGCTAAAACATAAAACCACTTAGCTAACACGTATTCTAAACTTATATAATGTAAATTGTTAATGATTGTAATTTACAGTAGGCTATGTATTAAGAAAAGTAATAATATTAATAATAATAATAATTATTATTATTATCTTTATTATTTTATTATTATTATTTAGGATATTGGGCGAAGCAATGGCACAGTAGGTAGTGCTGTCGCCTCACAGCAAGAAGGTCACTGGTTCGAGCTTCGGCTGGGTCAGTTGGTGTTTCTATATGGAGTTCTCCCTGCGTTCGCGTGGGTTTCCTCCGGGTGCTACAGTTTCTCCAACAGTCCAAAGACATGCGGTACAGGCTAAATTGTCTGTAGTGTATGAGTGTGTGTGGCTGTTTCCCAGACATGGGTTGTGGCTGGAAGGGCATCCGCTGCTTAAAAAAAACGTGCTGGATAAGTTGGCGGTTCATTCCGCCATGGCGACCCCGGATTAATAAAAGGACTAAGCCGAAAAGAAAATGAATGAATGAATAAATGATTAGGATATTGTTTATTTTTTATTGTTTAATTAGTTTATTTTTTTAAGTATACTTTTACAATTTCACACATTCAAAGCACTGCAGAAATGTGCTAACCACTAGGCTCATGTCTTAAACAGTAGGCTACAGACAAATTTCCTAATAAATAGCCTATATAAATATAAACTTAATGTATGCTTTATATATATATATTATATATTGTATATATATTTATTTTTTATTTTTTAATTTAATTTTTTTTTGTTTCATGAGCAGCGGCTCTGTTCAAAATTTTGTTTTCATAGTGCACTGCAAAGGCAGCACAATTTTCAATATAAAGATTGCTAAAAATGAACTGTTGAAATACTTTGTAATTTTTATTACAACTAAGAGAGATGACTTTAATGTTTTTTTTTTCCAAATATAGGAAAATTTGTGGGTAACTGGAAATGGAACTCTGCTGCAAACTACAGCTCTAGAGGTGTAGTTGCAAGCATAAAAGTTTATGACGCAGTTTGCGAATGTTCGCTGGAACAACGGATTTGAAAAATGCCAAATTAACTAACTAGGTTTGAAATGATAGAACTTGTGACCTTAGTTGGTTTTAGGAAACGCACCCTAGGGCGGCATCTTGCTAGGGGCGGCAAGGAGACTAAGAAGAGTGGCAAATGCGGATTTCAGCATTTCCAGATGCGAAAAGCTCACACAATGTTATGAACATATCTTTGTCGCATGTTAGCAGACCACTGTAATCCACAAATGTGGACCCAAACGTGGGCTGTGCTCTCATCACAGGAAAATGGAAACAAAACCTTTGTTGCAGCACATTTATAAATGCAACACTGATGTCTCATGTCTCCGAACAATTTTTCTTCTTCCGATTGTTTTAGTTATGGTTGGCAACACAACGTGGCATCTCTCTGACGTCTCAACACTGTAAAAGTAAAAAGTAAAAACAGTCTTTGAAGCCATCATGCATATTAATGAAGTTGCACCTCATACACAATAGTGTGTGCTGATTGGGTCAAACTAAGTCTCATCAATGATGAAAATTCAAAGACGTCACATTGTTCCAGCCAGTACAGACATCAAGTCTCCACGCTGAATTTACACAATGATCGCATGTTGGTGTTTCATGACCCTTTTAGCTTTACTAAATTGTGTGTATTAAATGTGTGTAAAAATAACCCAGGTCAAATTCGGAAGCATGCCCAAGTTTTCATTTGTGTTTATGTTATACAGATTAATTATCTGAGAGGTTTTGTACCTTTAGGACCTGCAAGATGGGGGGAAAGGGAGGGAAATGCTGGCTTAGTGTTAAAACAAAATGGATATTGTCAGTTACATGGAGCAAAATCCACATTGTATATAAAAGTTAACTGCCCGAGTCGTCTGGAATTGATATAGCTTTTAAGGAGAACAAGAAATGGTATGAACTCTTCAGTTAAAATATAATTTTTAAAACAGATTGGCATGTACATTAAAACCAAGAGACCTAGTTAGTGCATTAAAACAGAAATGTCTACATATTAAATTCATACTAGAAGATAAAAATTTTCCGCTGTGTGGGTAATGAGTTCCTGCTGGAACTGGAATAACCTTAGTCAGAACACAAACACTGAATGAATCCTCCAATTCTTGGTATGAAATAGGTAATTATTGCTTAAAGTTTCTCAAGAGGCCTGTTTTGGCAGAGTTGGTTTTCACCAGAATGTTAGTTTGGAAGTTCCAATCCTGTCCTTTTGAGTGAATTACAATCTTGGGCACTGTTTTGTTTTCCTTGGCTACTTGTGATGTCTTGGCCAAATGCTCAACTTTTTACCCTTCGTAGTGAACCAATGTTGCTGCCGCGAATTGCTGCCAGTAGATCATCACGGGTTGACTCCTCCAGACTATTTAGGTCATCTTTTCTTCTTGAATGCTCTGTATTATCATCATGAAGCTTTTTCTTGCCATGCTTGTCGCCAGTGAGATTGTGCTTTTTATTTGAATTAGCCTGGATTCGACCCACGTTTTCGGTTTCTTGTTGCTTGACCGTTTCAGCTATTTGCCTCATTGGCACATTCATCACACCATTTGGTTGATTATGAGGTGGTTGTGGCAAATAAGAAGAGACCAAGTGCTGCTTCCCTTGGGTTGTGTGCTTGTCTGTTGAAATCTGGAATTGAAATGACTGCATTTTGTCCACAGTATTCCAAGACTTCACTTGTTCTTGACTTTTGTCTTTTTCTCTTCTTTCTTGGAGCCGCTTTTGCCTGTGGCGGTCCTGATTGCGGGTTAATATACCAGTTGCACTCATCCTTGGGCCGGGTAACTCAAAATGGTATCCTAGTTTCAATAGGCTAGTGTTATCCTTTAGCAGTTTCACCATTTCCATCTCTACTTGGCCTCCACAGATGTGTCTCTGGTTGTGGAATCGGAGCTCAGTCAGTGTGTTGTTATACTGAAGTGACTTAATCAAAGCTAAGATGCCTTTGCCTGAAATGAAGTTGGACTCGACATTAAGTCTGGTAATGCTACTATTCGCCTTCAGCATTTTGGCCAAGGCCAAAGCTACTTGATCATCTGCATGGGTGTTGGCAAGGTTGAAAACCTCAACATGAGTGTTCGAGGTTAAGGCATCAGCAAAGCCCACCAAAACACCTTGGGATAAGTTTTCAACATTGTTAAGGTTGACTTCAGTCAAGGAAGTGGCATTGCTCAATACGTGCTCTAAAGTCTTATCGATATCAGTGGGGTTACAACTTGACCCGTCCAGTGTAACAGGGTAGTGGGGGGCATCATTATATTTTCGAGCGCTCTCGCTATCTAGTCGTGATAGCTCCACAGAATTCCATTTGTTTGACCTAGCTTGCTTCACCCTGTCACCCCCCTTTTCTTTATTATCCTCCGGCTCTTCACTGGCACATTCCTCTTCGCACTTATCTGTCTGGCACTCATCCATGCTGTCCTGTGTGTTGCCATAGAAAGACAAGATTTAGCATTGGCATACTTCAAGCAAAGGAAGCTTAATTAAGAAAGACTATGACCAGCTGAGACAGCTACACAAGCAATACCTATTCTGTGGAGGCATTGTTGCAGTTATTTGGTGCACTAAATTGAAGAAAGTAACATTTTAATTAAATTGTCTTATTGCAGTGATTTTAGAAATCAAATCAAGAACATCTGATTGACTCAATGTTTATAAAGCAAAATAACAATGATTATTCTTATGCCCTAAGGGTGAAAAACTCTCAAGGAAGAAGAAAGTAATCTGTTTTTAGGAGTACTACAAACTTCGGGGGAGGTTTTTTTTTTTTTTTTTTCAGCAGGCTGAAAGTAAACTTTTTAGGAAAGTGTCATTACATGATTTGGACATCTCTGCATTCAGTGGACTGCCTTAGAGCAATTCTTAGCTGTAATCCTCATGATCCCCTGTTGTGTACATTTTTCATGTATGTCTTGCCTGACTTAGATAACCAGATCTTTAAAAGAAAGCTCCAAAAAGGGATTGTTCCGGTTGACATGTTCAGTGTTTTTCAACCACGTTCCTGGAAGACCACCAGCTTTGCGAGTTTTTTATGTCTTCATAACCAAACACTCCTAATTCAGATCATAAGCTCATTAGAAGAAAGTGAAAGACAGTAATGGGTGTAACAAACAAAGGAGACATCTGAAACATGCAGTGTTGGTCGTCCTTCAGAAACACTATTTATTACTCTCTACCCCTGGCCCTGCATGAGAACACAGGTGAACTTAGTTTTTTTTATTATTTAAAAACAAAGATTTGCAGCATTTCAGATGAAATTTTTTACAGAAATGTAAAGACTGATTTATATTAGACACATCCACTATTTCGCTTGTGTGAAATAGTGCAAGTCGGAGTCATTCTAGTCACTCTAGTCACTTAAAAATTAAGTGATGATGACAACAACTATAATATACTGACATTTTCATTAACTAATAAAAACGAAACAAGAATGATATTGAGGTCTGATTTTTTTCTTTTTGATCATCTAAATAGAAATAATCTTGCTATGGAATACATGATGCACAGACACATTTAAAAAGTAACTTGTCCACAGTAGACATGGGATGCGATTACATCATCTTCCATAGGAGTGTCTGTGTGTCAAGGTTAAACTATAATGAAATGGCAACAGCTGAGAGAAAAAGAAAATTCACACTTGATGTCAAGACAAAAAGACTGTAAACTGTATGTGGTCAGAATAGCTGATAAAAACAACAAATCTAAAACTCCTGGGACTCACTGCAGTGCTCATTTAGTGTGTCTTATTTAAAGGGCACCTATGGTAAAAAATCTACTTTTCAAGCTGTTTGGACAGACATATGTGTAGATATAGTGTATAGACCAGGGGTGGCCAACCCTGTTCCTGGAGAGCCACCTTCCTGCAGATTTCAGTTGCTACCCATATCAAACACACCTGAACCAATTAATAAGGACCTGAACACCACTTGATAATTACAGACAGGTGTGTTTGATATGGGTTGCAACTGAAATCTGCAGGAAGATGGCTCTCCAGGAACAGGGTTGCCACCCCTGCTATAGACCATCATATTGGGCTGATATAAACACACCCAGTCCTTTTTTTTTTTTCAATTTAACAACATAAAACCAATAGACCAATTGGTAAGGTTTTCAGACCGACCGCAACTTGACGTAGGAGTGCAGTCCCCCCGCCCACCGAATTGATTGACAGCTGCGTAACATGTCCCGGTAGTTACGTGTATAATCAGATCAACAAGAGAAGACGAGCGCAAAGCAACCCAGAATAAAAGGTCTGTCCAGTTTGCTAGGATCATCAATCATCATCAAATGTGATCAAGAAGAGCGAGTTTCACAAGTTTAAAATGTTTTAAAACAGTGCATGTGTGTAATGAATTACAGCAATTTACTTCAGATTTAATTAATCAGCACAGCTGATTAAATGTCAGAACATTTATAAAAGGAGACGCTTCAATCTCAATTTGTGGACGTTAAATCAGGCTTATTTTGTACACTAACATAACAGATATCCATACAGCGATGAAATTTAGCCTGTATCCTGTCACATTTGCGTGCAAAAAGAATACAAAGCTAAACGTGCTGTCTGTATATATGTGCGTATCGTATCCTTGCTGGGTGTGTGTGTGGGTGAACTTTGTAACAACATTGTGTCAGACTCCTCGTTGTAACTTAACACAGCAAATGCATCAAATACTCATTGGTAAAGTTCTTACTGTAGTATTTCTCACAAACGCTACATGATATCTGCTTCCTTAATGTCTGTTTGTTGTCTGACGCAGCCGAGGAAGGAGATTAAGGCACGCAGAAAGGCACGTAGAAAAGGTGGGCGGAGAGGACTTGCCTTAAAGGTGCAAAACAGCAAAACCGCCACCCAGTGCAAAAACGTATAAAGCAGAATCTTATAAAAGGTATAATAAAAAATTTGATGGGTGTTTTAAGCTGAAACTTTTACAGACACATTCTGGAGACACAAAAGATTCATAATAAATCTGAAAAAAGGGGTAACCTAGGTGCCATTTAAAACACCTAAATCATATTTTGATCTTGTTAGCATGAAGCTCCACGAACTCATTTTTTGTGTGTTATGTAAGAGACCTTGCACACCCTACCTTTAACAATCTTTGAGTCTCGTCCTCCCAGTACTTCAGCAACGACCCTCTGCAAAATGTTCCCGTTGACTTTTTGGCTGTCTGGTCTTCTTGCTGTAGCCCAATGGGTATGTTCTCATCAGGTTCCATTTCAGCCATTATTTTCTCTAGCTCCTGGAGCTCCTCGCTGGTAAGTGAGGCCAAAAGTTCATCTTCTTCAATCTCTTCATGCTTGCCAAGCCCTTTTCTATACCCAGAGGTGCTCATAGTTGTAACTCTATAAATCCTTTGTGTGATTGAAGTTTTACTCTGCCTTTGTCAATACTTGTATAGGAGATTAGTGTCCTATGCTGATGTAAGTGTGTGTGCACTGTTAGTCTAATCTGGGTAGCTGGTGAGGCAAAATAAGGGGAGGGTACACAACTGAGAAACATGAAAATCTGCATATGATGGTGTCTTTTAATGAGGACACAGAGATTACAGAAAAAATATGAATTTATTTAGAGCTACTAAGACCTGATGGCTCAACTAATCTAATTTTCACACCTTATTTAGCACCTTAATTCCTTAAGTTTTTAATATCTTAGTTAAAAAAAAGAAAACCTATTTACATTTATAAAGCAAGGTGTTTGTAATGCAGCGCCAATGGGCGGGACAGTAAATCTGATGTTGTCTTCTGGCTGCTGTTGTTGATCTCACACATTTATTTATTTAATAAATAAGAATACCATAAGAAAATCTTTGTGGTACTCTCCAGTTCACTGCGCTCCAAATTTACCCAACTATGATGATGTTAAGTTACACTATATGGATTAAAGAAGTTACATTTATGATAAGCTCATACAGATGTGGTGTTAAATATAATATATATAATATTAAGGTGCTGTAAGTTTTTTTTTTTTTGGCCACAGCCATATCACCCTGCAGCCCAAGACCGGTTGCTTTCTGAAGCTAAGCAGGGCTGAGCCTGGAGGAAGGGAGACCACATGGGAAAACTAGGTTGCTGTTGGAAGTGGTGCCAGCAGGGGGTGCTCAACCTGTGATCTGCGTGAGTCCTAATGCCTTAGTACAGTGAAGGCGACACTATAGTGTCAGTGGGCGCCGTCTTTCGGATGAGACATTAAACCGAGGTCCTGACTCTCTGTGGTCATTAAAAATCCCATGGCACTTCTCGTTAAGAGTAGGAGTGTAAACCCAGTCTCCTGGCCAAAGTCTCTCAATCAGCCCTTACGATCATGGCCTCCCAATCATCCCCATCCACCGAATTGTCTCTATCACTCTCCACTCCCCCAATAGCTGGTGTGTGGTGAGCGCACTGGCGCCATTTTCCTGTGGCTGCCGTCTCATTGTCCAAGTGGATGCTGCACTCTGGTGGTGGTGTGAAGAGACCCTCCTCATGATTGTGAAGCGCTTTGGGTGTATGGCCATACACAATAAATGCGCTATATAAATACACATTACATTACATTATATATTTCTTTTTTTATTTTGACCTTAAAGAAACAGAGCCGTACAAAAAAAGGAACAACAACTATTAAGACAGAAAAGAAAAAGTTAACAAAAAAAGACAAGAAAAAAAGATCAGTTCCTCCAGTTTTACACATAGGTTAACAAGGCCAGTGGAGACAATATAGTCTTGCAAACAATGAAAGGGTCCTATCTTTAAACTTGTATCGGACAGATAAATAAGAAAAGGTTTCCATGTAGCTTGAAACCAGCAATAAAAATTGTGTCTAAGTCTGTGTCTAAGTCAATGTGCTGGAGAGTTCAGAAAGCCAGAATTTAAAAAGTGATTTTGATGCCTTTTTCCATAGACAAAGAATCATGTTTTTAGCTACCACCATGGTAAACCAACCAAAACACAGCTATTTCTGGGTCAGGGGTGAGGTCACAAGAATAAGCCTAATGCTGCGTTCACACCAGATGCTGAACACGCGTCAAGCGTGAGTGATTTACATGTTACGTCAATGCAAATCGCTGGAGTTCAAAAATCTGATCTTGGGCGGACATTCGCGCTGCGTTAACCAGTCAGGAGCTTGCCCTTGTGGGGGCGTGATTGTGATATAGCATCTGTTGTTGGTGTCCCAGGGGAAATCCTCCAGCCGACCCTGATAACAGTTCATCAAACTGGGCTCAGCTCAGTCGAAGCACCGCTGAAAGCCTCCGTCATTCAGGTATTGTTTCTGGAGAAGTTTATGAACTCACAGAGCTGAATGCACCTCTGAAAGGATCTAGTGGACTCAGACACGGCCTTAAACGTATCGACGCTGTTTTTCAGCCTTCATAAAGCACATAAACACTGTTATTTTCTTAATAAAATTCATGTTAGCCATTTAGCAACAAAGCTAGAGTCACCAGGCAGACAGAAGCACTGCTCATCACGCGAATCCGTGACTGTTCTGAAGTGAATTTGACGTGTGAATAAAGCAAGTAAACTCAAATGTTCACGCTGCTATTTACGTGCGAATATCGCGATTTATCCGCACAATCCGCGTCTGGTTTGAACACAGCATAATGTGTTTCGCTCCAAAACTCAAAGCTTTGGGCATGACCAAAATAGAGTTTTTGACTTTTTTTTAAGTTTAAAAATACAAATATATATATATATATATATATATATATATATATATATATATATATATATATATATATATATATATATATATATATATATATATATATATGTTTTCAGTTAAGAAACATACCATGCTAATATTTATTTGAAAAACATTTTCAATTAAAAGTGTGTGTTGTGTGTCGGAATGTCAGTATTTGATCTATGTAACCACCGACTGCCATTTTTCCTCAATTACATTTCAGCACCTCTGGTTTCCTTAATGCAAATCATTGCATTTCATTTCTGTCCTGAAGGCTTCCTCAATATATGTGAATGCAGCCAAACATTTGACCTCAGGAGGACTGTAGCAGTCTCCATAAATGTTAGGTGGATTCACAAGAATTTATTTATTTTTTTTTCGTAAAATCATCAAAATATTCCAAACATTGTAACTGTGGAAACTTGCCTATGCATCAAGATGGAGGAGAGGGGGTCCAGGTGAAAAAAAAACAAAAAAACGTTCTTCAATATTTTGAATTTGGACTACAACACCTTGTTTAACCACTAGGTGCTGATCCTACGTAAAAAAAAAATAATGGTGCATTTCAAACTGTTGCAAACTATTTTTATAAGCTGAATTCAAACATATTAAGTTGAATCACATTATTAAATTTAATTTGTTTAAATTCAGTCCACATAAATTGTTTACAATTACCTTAAAAAAAAGATTTATTAGATTTACTAAATCTTTTTAAGTGTACTACACATATAGTTATGTTCTGGCATTTTTAGGGGTAACGCGTTATAAGTAATGCACGTTACGTAATAATATTACGCATATAACGCAATACTTTTAAAAATAGGTCATATTGTTTCAGTGATTTTGAGAAAAATGTTACATGAGTTACTTTTTTACTTTGCTTGATTTTTTTATTATTATTTTTTTATATAGTGCATAATAAATATTACCTTAGTCTGAGATTTATTTAGATTTGGGGATTTTTCTTTTAGCATCTTACTGTTCATTTTTTTATTAAACATTTTAAAGGTTAAAAATCTGTTTTTGTGTTAATATAAATTATTTAATGTTTGTAGCCTAATCTTAGGTTTTATTGAAATTGTAATCTCAATAGACAGTGAATTTACTTAAACTAACGACACAAAATGTACAAAAGTAACAAACACGTTCTTTTACATGCTTTCATAAATCTGTATATACAGCATGTATAGCTCTGGGCTCAGAAAGTTCTCATATATAATGTTATCCTACATTTTTTAAAGGTAAATTAAGGTGTAGGTTATATGAGTGGTTGTTTAATGAAAAAAGTAAAAAAAAAACATCTGTAAGTTCTGAAAGAGATCAGAACACATTACTTTCCATAAAAACGAACAGTAGCACAATTAGTAACTTTTTTGGGAGAGTAACTTAATATTGTGATGCATTACTTGAAACTTTCCCCAACACTGTGTTCTGGTATTTATATTTGTCAGATATTTGTTATTATAATAATTATTTGTATGCAGTATTAAATTAGCTAATAATAAACTATATGTAAACTTACATTTCAGGACATCCAGAACTATTACACCAAAAAAAAAAACAAATAAATAAAATAAAATTGATTGCCTAACCATTGTTCAGTGGGATTCAAACATTGCGATGTCGTGATACTCTTACGTTTTTTAAAAGTTATAAAAAAATCTCTATCAGGTAATACAATCATATGTACTTGAACACAAACTGATAAGAACATTGTAAACTACGAATACATCTAATGCGTCTGGCAGTTTATCTGAAAGTGAGGTGGTGAGTCTGTGATAATGGATAAGTCAAAGGTTTCTCCTTGACAAGTGGCCGAGCATGCCTGTTGATGTTAACAGCGCATAAAGCTATGAATAGATATGACCTGTTTTAGTTACTTCAATTGTGATAAAGCAGGTCACCACTGTTTAGCAGTGCTTAAATGTGACTTGTAATCACTAATAGCGTGTGCACCTTGAAAGTGTCACATTAAAAGTTAAAATGTAAATAAATAGAACATCTTGAATGTTTACTTATTGAGGACAAAACAGTCTGAATTCAACAGGCATCAATTCATTTATTATTTATCTGATATAAACATGTTGTTCTTAGTAGCTTGAACATTATTATTATTATTGCACAAATATCATAAAAAACTTTGCTTAAGAGGCAAAGTCCTCTGATATAATATTCACATTTCCGTGTTCATTGACAAAGTGCTAAAAACACTTAACATGGAAGTTTTTGTTTTAAACCCATGAGTTACAACACGAGAAATCTCTGGTCATGTCAACTTTATATTCATTTCTAACTTAAACTCAAAGTGCTTGCGCCTTCACATTTACAAGAGACCATCATTCCTGATAAATAATTCTCCCGTACAGATCGTATTCTTTGTATGTTAAGTAGCTTTTTAGTCCTGGTGGGAATGGACCTGAGTTTATGTAGTCTGGGTCGCCCAGTCTTTCTGGGCTCATCTGTCCCCTGATGACCAGTCTGCACTGGTGTTGCAGTGAACGTGGTTTCCCTGGGGGAAAAAATCAAACATGGTTTCTTTGTTGTTGTTTTTTATCATATTTTTATCATCTAATGATATGGCATTTGTTTTTGTATTAAATGAGTGGTTCAAAACAATATCCTATTTTAATCTTAAGTTGATGTGTAGCTTTGTGAACATAGACAACATCTCTGAATGTAACACACTCAAAGTTAAATGCAAAGGAAGACATTGGCTTTTACAGAGGTAGCTAAGCAAAGCTTACAGCTAGGGAATTTTGGGGACTACAAAAAATACACCCAAGCTAGAGAGATGCCATACGCTACAGGTTACGCGCATTTACCATGTGCCTGTGCAGCAACAAGGCATGGCCAGAGGCGCTGTGATGTTACAGCAGAGAAAGCTAAAATACCATCTAAATGCTGCTATTTCCACAGAGTGTTTTCATTTTCTGTATTTGGGCTAACAAAGGACAAGACGCAAAGACAGAAGTGCTTACGATTTAATTTAAATTATTTTCCAGAGAGGCGACGCAGTGGCGCATTAGGTAGTGCTGTCGCCTCAGAGCAAAAAGGTCCCTGGGTCGCTGGTTTGAGCCTCTGCGTTTCTGTTTGGAGTTTGCATGTTCTCCCTTCATTCGCGTGGGTTTCCTCCGGGTGCTCTGGTTTCCCCCACAGTCCAAAGACATGCGGTACAGGTGAATTGGGTAGGCTAAATTGTCCTTAGAGTATGAATGTGTGTGTGAATGAGTATGTGTGGATGAATGTTTCCCAGAGATGTGTTGCGGCTGGAAGGGCATCAGCTGCGTAAAAACGTGCTGAATATGTTGGCGGTTCATTCCACTGTGGCGACTCCGGATTAATAAAGGGACTAAGCTGAAAAGAATGAATGATCCAGAGAATTATACTACTATACATATAGTGTGTGTGTATATATATATATATATATATATATATATATATATATATATATATATATATATATATATATATATATATATATATATATATATATATATATATATAAAGCTAGCGTTTGACAAAGGATAGCTTCCAGAATCTCTTTTGTGAAATTTTTTGTTATTTTTATTTGGTAAAATTGATCTATTACATTAACGGTATGTTGTGGAGAGGACGTAAACACAGATGTAAAGAACGGGAAATGCTGTTTTGCTCCGCTAACAATTCAGCTACAAATTCATATTTATCAGTTAAACTTCTGTAAACACCCACAATCATAAACAGCGCATTGTCTGTCTATCTGGCCGCTTCCAGTGTCCCTCTTTACGTTAGCTTTCTGTGCGTTCTACATCTCAAATAACAAACTCGCAAAAGATTTGTGATCGTGTCATATTACTTATATATGCTTAATTCGAATATATATGAAAGACACTTGTCAGATTTTATTTTAGAGAGCAGGCGTGAGGTTCATATATATCCTCTTCATCTTATGTCTAATTCAGGCAAACTGGTAAAGCTAACAGCTACTGTTTACACAGCACAAAACAGCGTGCTTGTAGGAGTTTGACGTGGAGCCAATTCCGCGAATCACAGCTTATTATGTTAGCTGACCAATCAGAGCCTTTTGAGGGCTGGAAATATGAAAGTCGTTTTTATGGTGTATAATATAATATAATGTCTGTTGTTCTCCCCGTGTTAGCATGGGTTTCCTCCGGTCCCACATCTACCCCCCAGGAGAGAAGCACATAGGCGGTTTCAAAAGTCTTGACATTGTTTTATAAACATTGCTCAGCAACATAGACACCTCCAAATGGTGTTAAAAGGGTCACATACTGTACTTATAAGGTGAATTATACCTTATTGTAAAGGCTGATTTAAACTTCTGCATCAAACGCCGGCGTATGCTATGGCACTGATGCATAGCCCTTCGCCACTGACGTGCACCTCTTTAAAAATGTAACTACACGTCGCAACGACGCGTAGCTCAAGCTCTGTGACTGGTCGGCTTGGTAGCGCTGACGAGTCTGGGCGGGACCAAGAGCCGCGTGAATGGTGTGAGCCTGATGGAGCGATTGTTTACAAAAGTGGAGTCCCGTGAAGGAGCTCCGGATGGAAAGTTTTGTTTTGTGTTTACCTCATAACCATATTTAAAGTTAACCATAGTTAACCATAGTTAAAGTTGTTGCACGTCCGCCGGTTCCTGCCTCAAAATGAGCGAGTTTGAGCCACTTGTACATCCCGGAAGTGTTCAGGAAAAGCAAAACAGCAGCGAAGAAACTCGACACAGAGGAACATTTACACCTCACTGCCAACTAGCGTTTCGGAAGTGTTAATGCAGACCAACAGAGACAGCGCGCAGAAGTATAAATGCACAGCTACGCGCGTTGCATGCGCCGTGGGTTACGGCGGTCACTTGACGCAAAAGTATAAACCAGGCTTAAGGTATAATTCACCCAAAAATGTAATTTCTGTTTTCATGTAATGACTTATTCGCAGCCGTAAAGATCACACGTCAGCTGACCATGAGCTGTGTGTTTACTACAGAGGGCATGTGCTTCGTAAATGATGTCTACTTTAGTGAACAGAACCTGCATAGGCTGTAAATAACATGTAAAAAGTTGTAAATAACGTTACGTTTGTTGCACAGAGCGATCGTTTGGGAACCTCGCGGGAAGTGTAATTTGCATGTATGTTTTTTTTTTCTCAAAGTGGCCATGACATGAGCTCACTCGGCAAGGAAAGTGAAACTGAAAAAATGCACATTTAAATGATCATATCGCATTTTAGAGTTATGATTACGACAAGTATTTGATATGTTTTTTCTTTCATAGCGAACACAGTGTGTTGTGCATGAGAATAAGCTTGAAGGCGTAGGGCTAAGGGGAAGGAGTGAACAGCCCTTCGAATGAAGATTTTTCAAGACCTCACTCGAAACCAAGTTGAAAGTACATTGCTCAGAATACACCAGCCACAACAGCAGGATCGCAGCTCCTGTAAGTAAGGAGATCTACAATTTTTTTTTTTTATTACGAATTTTTACAACAAACACGTTTTAATATATTCATAACCGTGTTCGTGTTTTACTATCATGCTTTTTTTTTAAGCAAATTTTTTTAATCCATAATCCATAATACTATTTCCTGTATAATAGTCCCACAACTTTCTGAAACTGGAATACCCTGTCAGTAATGTCTAGGGGCTGGGAATAAGCTTTTTACAGTGTCTGCTATAATGTTAATGTTGTTTTTGGTGTGTTTTCATAGATGAATGTGGCCACGGTGTAAATGCACTGTACAGTTACATTCTTATTGTCTCATAAGATTATTATGATAACATAATTTATTCCTTCAGTGATTTCCTGAAGATCAATACCAAAAAATAACACATCTGGAATAACTACAGCAGTCGCGATCATCTGATCTCATATGAAGCAAGAGATCGTAATTACATGTGATGGCAGGTGCTGTAGTGCTGTCCCAGTTCTTAGGGGTAAATTTTAAAGCCCTTCCCTTTCACCCTCGGTTTTAAGGGCCAAAGGGAAGGGGTAAGGGTACAAAAATAAAATTGGTATTGGGCCTACATGTTTAACAGTGTCACTAAAACTAGCTACTATAGGCTATAAAATCTTGATATAATGCAAGAGGTAATCTGATTATGACAAATGTCTGATTTTACCAGTGAAAAAAAGGTCTAATAATGTTGTTAATGACGGATTGCAAACATATGTCTCAAATATAATAACTCTACTTCAGTTGTATTCTGATGTAACCACATTACTGTGCCTTATTGTAACCAGGACAAATATAAAGTCAATTCAAGTCCACCATTCCATGTACAGTTAAGTCTATAAATATTTGGTCATTGACAGCATTCTAACATTTTTTGGCTCTTTACACCAACTCAATCAATTTGAAATGAAACAAATATGTGTGTAAACAGCAGACTGTCAGCTTTATTTTGAGAGTTTTTATAGCCAAATCAGGTAAACGCTGTAGGAGTTACAACAGTTTGCATATGTGCTTCCCACTTGTTAAGGGTCCAAAAGTAATTGGCTTCACAGCTGTTCCATGGCCAGGTGTGTGGTATTCCCTTAGTACCCCAATTACAATAAGCAGATAAAAGGTCCAGAGTTCATTTCAAGTGTGCTATAGCATTTAGAATCTATTACTGTCAACTCTCAAGAAGAGATCCTTAGAGCTGTCACTATCAGTCAAGCAAATTATACCTTCAAATTAAAGCTGATAGTTAAAGCACATCTTGATCGTTTAATTTCAAATCGATTGTGTTGGTGTATAGAGTCAAAAATGTTACAATTCTGTCAATGTCCAAATATTTATGGACCTAACTGTATATACAGTTGAAGTCAGAAGTATTAGCCCCCCTCAATTATTAGCTGCCCTGTTTAAATTTCCCCTGTTTTCTGTTTAACAGAGAGATTTTTTCAACACATTTCTAAACATAATAGTTTTAATAACTCATCTCTAATAACTTTTATTTTATCTTTGCCATGATGACAGTAAATCATATTTGACTAGATACTTTTCAAGACATTTCTATACAGCTTAAAGTAACATTTAAAAGCTTGACTAGGTTAATTAGGTTAACTAGGCAGGTTAGGGTAATTAGGCAAATCATTGTAATGATTTGTTCTGTAGACTATCGAAAAGAAAATATTGATTAAAGGGGCTAATATTTTGTCCTTAAAATAGTGTTTAAAAAATTTAAAACACCTTTTATTCTAGTCGAAATGAAACAAGTAAGACTTTCTCCAGAAGAAAAAAATATTATCAGACATACTGTGAAAATTTCCTTTCTTTGCTAAATATCATTTGGGAAATATTCAAATAGGAAAAAAATTGAAAGGTTACAATTGTACAAGATTTTAACTAACAGTAAACTTACAGATAATATAATTATTGTTGTTTTACCATATGTTTAGGAAATAGCCTACTTTTTTTTACTTTTTTTTAACCTTTATTTTACAATCATGAGAAAATCATGGTCTTTATTTTAAATAAAAAATAAAATAGTTTGAGCCTCTGCGTTTCTGTTTGGAGTTTGTATGTTCTCCCAGCCTTCATTTGGGTTTCCTCCGGGTGCTCCGGTTTCCCCCACAGTCCAAAGACATGCGATACAGGTGAATTGGGTAGGCTAAATTGTCCGCAATGTATGAGTGTGTGTGTGGATGATTCCCAGAGATGGGTTGCGGCTGGAAGGGCATCCGCTGTGTAAAAACTTGCTGGATAAGTTGGCGGTTCATTCCGCGGTTCATTATGCGAGAAGTACCCGGATGACTTACTACTTCCGGCGAGATTCTGTAGTGTGCATCCCATGCACGCTGCGCTATCCCATAATGCCCAGCGAGAGAATTCATGAATGGAAGTGAGGCGACGCAACTGGCCCAGGTAGGTCACATGACCATGACAAAATGGTGGATGTAGTACGTCCGTATTCCATTCATACTTTTCACATTCATACTGTATAAAACGTACTTTTCTAACGGCCAAGTAGTATGTTTAAATTCAAATGCATTACCTACTGAGTATAGGCAGTTTCGGACGCATCCATGCACTCTGGTGCTCTCGGCAACCTGAGTTCGATTCCCGCCTCGTGGTTCTATGCTGATCCTTCCCCTCTCTCTGCTCCCCACACATTCCTGTCAATACTCTCTACTGTCCTATCATTTAAAGGTGAAAACACACAAAAAATATGTTAAAAAAAGAATATTGTGGCTGAAGTAATCAAACTGACATCAACAAAGAAGGACCACCACTTCAAATGCAGCAGCAAATGGAAAGATTTTGATTGAAGACGACCAAAACAAAAAACACTCATTCATTTTCCTTCAGCTTAGTCCCTTATTTATCAGGGTTGCCCACAGCAGAATGATATTCCAGTTTATGTTTTATGCAGTGAATGCCCTTCCAGCCACAAACCAGTACTGGGAAACAACCATATACTCTCATAGTCACACAAACAGTCATACACTTTGGCCAATTTAATTTATAAAATTCACCTATACCTCATACTGTATCTATAAGCTGTTGGGGAAACCGGAGCACCCGGTGGAAACCCACATGAACATGGGAAAAACATCTAAACTCCACACAGACATACTAACTGGCATCGAATCAGCGACCTTATTGCTGTAATGTGACAGTGCTAACCACTGAGCCACCGTGTTGCCCACAAAATAATTTTTTAAAGCAAAACATTGTTATTTAAATATTTTCTTTTCGGTTTAGTCCCTTTATCAATCTGAGATTGCCACAGCGGAATGAACCACCAACTTATTTGGTAACACTACGAACAATTTAGCTTACCCAATTCACCTATACAGCATATCTTTGAACTTGTGGGGGAAACCGGAGCACCCAGTGGAAATCCACGCAAGCAAGGGGGGAACATGTAAACTCCACACAGAAATCTCAACTGACCCAGCCGAGGCTCGAACCAGCGACCTTTTTGCTGTGAGGCGATTGTGCTACACACTGCTCCACCTTGCTGCCAAATAACATAAATATGGACCCTAGTAACTATGGTAACTATCCCATAACACTTTAATATGGACTCTAAGTGTCAAATCCAGAACTGTTTATGGTACTTACCCAATATTTCTGAAATCTCAGCCCAGTCTTTATGCTTCTTAAGAACCATTTTCAGCTTAGAGCAAATGGGAACATGATTGACGTAGTCGAGGAGAACCCGCACAGCTCTCGCTGCAAACTGCACTAGCCAGGACACGCTGATGAAATCACAAAACTGAATGCAGAAGAAGATAGAAACAGAAATAAAAATACAATGTGTTTAATGAAAGTGTAAACATGCGATATGGACCATAATAAAATATTAGCATTTTTGAGACGTTTTTCGATATTTATTTTTTTACAGAACACTCAAATTATCAACAGATTGATGGCAATGCCACATTCACAAGTGCCTTACCATCACGGATTGCCTAAACTTGACAGGCAGAAGAATTCTGTGCTGAAAACAATTTCTAATCACTCTGATCCATATTCACCTGTCTGGTCATAGAATGGCTCGATAGTGACTTAAATAACCCAAGAGAACCAAACTATTGTGAACACACACGTTTAAAAAAATTCACAAAAGTATTTTTGTAGCTTTATAATATTCAAATTGAACCACTGAAGTGGCATCATACAACAGTGATCTTGGAGCTTTGTATAGAAACTGTTGAACCACTGACACGGATTGTTTTGACAAGGTAAAAGTTCATTTTCTGGACCAAGTCAGGACCATTGCTGTCTTAGTAGGATCAGAGTTCTCTCGAATTTCATCCAAAATACATGTATATGTCTTTCAAAGATGAATGACATGCGAATGATTAATTATTAAGAGATTTTTTTTATCCTATTTCAAGAGTTCACACTCAGCTGATTGATTATGATAGCGTTTGTTTGCCACGCTGTCCCGGGAGAGAGCCCTGAGCTCAAAAGATCCTCAAGCCTGGGGCTCCCTCTTATTTTCAGGTTGAGAGGGGAGTTTGAGCTCAGGTAAATCTTGAGAACTCCCCTGCTTATTTATGGCTACTGACAAATTAGGGATTGCTGTAGAGAAATTCTTCTTGTCCAAAAGCTCATCTGTGGTGCCAATTTGGTTTAGTCAATTTACTTATGTCGCATGTCTTTAGAGCAGAGATGCCCAGACTAGGGCTCTTTGATTTGGCCTGCAATCCCATCTGAGAAGAGGGAACGAATTATAGAGTTGGTTTAGAGAATGTCCTTTCAAATCGAATGTAATTTTTTATTTGTTTGTTTGTTTTATTGTTAACAGCTAATTGAAATTAAATGTTTCAATGAATTTTTGTAATTAATCAGATTTAGTTTAATTGTACAAACTGTGGGCGACGCAGTGGTGCAGTAGGTAATGCTGTCACCTCACAGCAAGAGGGTTGCTGGTTCGAGCCTCGGCTGGGTCAGTTGGCGTTTCTGTGTGGAGTTTGCATGTTCTCCCTGTGTTTTTGTGGGTATCCCCTGGGTGCTCCGGTTTCCCCCACAGTCCAAAGACATGCGGTACAGGTGAATTTGGTAAGCTGAATTGTCCATAGTGTATGAGTGTGTATATTGATGTTTCCCAACATCCGGTTGAAGCTGGAAGGGCATCTGCTGCGTTAAACATGTGCTAGATAAGTTGGCGGTTCAATCTGCTGTGGCGACCCCGGATTAATAAAGAAATTAAGCTGATAAGAAAATAAATGAATGAATGACTGTACATACTGTCACCTGAGGACAATGCAGAGACTTAGAGGCAGATTCTGCTTGTCTAGTGTATTTAACATCGAACTGCACTGTTTACTCACCCATGGCAACTTTAATGTAATATAGTATGGTGTATTTACCTTCGGCCCACGGCTGATATTTGGTTTTTGCCCCTTTATTTGAAAAAGTTTGGGCACTCCTGCTTTAGAGGTTGGGAGGAAACCAGAGAACACACATGAGCACAGGGAGATGTAAACTCAGACAAACTTGACAGAAACGTTAACTGGCCTGGTAAGGACTTAAACCAGTGACATTCTTGCTGTGAAGCAACAGTGCTTACCACTGGGCTTCTGTGCCGGCCTATCTAAGAAAAGGGAGGAGGAACAGGGGTAAAAGGGGGGTTCTTCAAAACAAAGATGACTGAGGTATGAAAACTCTGGTTATTTATGGTGACTTAGGAATTTTCTCAGTGGTAAATCATGTGTTAGCTAATGTGGAACCTGCCATGGTCAATCATAACCACGTTCCACTCAAAATTAACATAAAAATAAACTTCCCTGAAGGTTGCACGGTGGAGCAGTGGGTAGTGATGTTGCCTCACAGCAAGATGTCGGTTTCCTCTTTCTGCAATGGTTTTCCCCACAGTCCAAAGACATGCGGTACAGGCGAAATGAATAAACTAAATTGGTCGTAGTGTAAGAGTGTGAATGTGAGTTTGTATTGATGTTTCCCAGTACTGCAGCTGGAAGGGCATCCACTGTGTAAAACATATGCTGGTTAAGTTGGCGGTTCATTCCACTGTGACACTGACTAAAAGGACTAAGCCGAAAAGAAAATGAATGAATGAATAAATTTCCCTAAGTAGTGAAGTAAGATTCTTTCGTTTTATTCACCATATTTTTTTTTTGTATCTGAGCTATACAGTACCTTTACCAAAAGCATCTGGCGTGTGCATACATTAATAACAAAAGCAAATTTAAGAACAAAGACACTAGTGGTGGTGTACTTACTGGAATCTGCTCGCTGGTCTGTTCTGTGGAGCGGCCCCATGTTGAATCATGAGGACAACGGAAGCATTTGTCTGCATTATAACCACTGTTTAATAGCATTCGCATCATCATCTCATCCCTCAGGCAGTATTGTAAGGCTGTGGGAAACACTGTGTCATTGACCTCTGTGAAGTAACAGTTCACATCTGCTTGGCTGGCCAGCAGAATCCTGACAACCTCGTACCGCCCAGCTCTTACTGCCACTAGAAGGCAGTGCAGAGGATCCAAGTCTGTTTTGGCTCCGGCATTCAACAGCAATTGGGTGCCAGTCACATCTCCATTGGAGACTGCAAAGTACAAAGCAGTCCTTCGCAGGTCTCCGTATTTCTCAGACACTTGTGGATCTAGAAGGTCATTGACGTCGAAACCTTTGTCCAACAGAAGCTCTAAGCACCGGACATGGCCTCCATCTGCAGCTGCATGAACCGGGCTCTGGCCTGATAGACGGAGCGCTCTCCTCGTGGTTATTGGGATCAACATTCTCAATGCACTGAAAAGAGAAAACTAGATGTTGACAATGAGGAAATGTAGATGTTATGTTGTGTATTCTGATCATTCTCTAGATTCATATTCACAAAGCATCTTAAGACTAAAAGTAACTTATAACTAAGCATACACAACTAAGCATATACAACTTTTTCAGTAGTAGTTTGGTAATACATGCTTCAGAGAATCAACTTCACACAAAAATAGAAAAAAAAAAGAAATAAAAGTAAATCTGAAAAGAAAAGTAGGCCTAAATCTGAAAGTCTCGAAGAGGACTTTTAAGTCACTAAGCCAAAGTACTGCTATGACAAACTACTTGGCATTACTAAAACACTAAAACAAATGATGATCTATCAATTTTGCTTCTGGACTAACGAAAATGTGATTTCTGACCGCATAAGTTTTGTGAATATGGGCCCAGGAGTGACAAAACTAGCATACCATTAGCACATTTTCTTACAGGTAATGGCCATTGTATGCAGCACGGTGGATTGGAAGCTGTAGGGAAAGACTAGCCACATTTGGATCAGCCCCGTGTTGAAGTAAAAGGTCAATGCAATCCGGATTGCCAGAACCAGCGGCATCATATAACACGCTGTCTCCATTTGGTGCCTGAGCATTTACATCAGCACCTGTGGATTATAAAATTCTGTTAGTTTACTAGCTCATGTAAATATATACAGCTGAGATCAAAATTAGAAAACAATCCACTGCAAAATGACAGTTTTCACTAAATTTGCTAGATGATAAACCATTCTAAAGTGACTGAAGCCATCTGACAGCAGGTTTGGGGATTTTTTTCTGCAGCAGGAGTTGGACCCCTTAGCTACAATACATGGAAGAGTGAATACAAACGTTTATCAGAAACTCCTTCAGCAACATATGGTTGCTTCACTGTTCAACACTCAATCAGCCAACAATTTTCATGCATGACAATGCCTCATCACATAGCAGAAAGGATACAGCAGTTCCTCGAAGCTGAAAGTATTGAAATAATAAAATGGCTTGTTCATTGCTGTTCTTTACTGTTTCTCCCTTTTTATATGAGCAATATCTCACTTGTAGCAGTCCGATATAGCTGTATATTGGCAATGTGTCACCAGTAACGATATACAGCCATACTGCTACAAGTGTGATATTGCGTTTATACAACAGTTTGATGGTATAATCTTGTATATATATATATATATATATATATATATATATATATATATATATATATATATATATATATATATATATATAAAATCAAACAGAGAGTCTAAAAACCTTTTTGTAAAAAGGAACTACTTCCTTCCACCATTCATTCATATCTGCAACTGATGTCAGAACAGCAGAAATCGTTGCTAAGTCACACGTCACTTTAGAGTTAGAATTTGTATGTTTCTCCTGCGTGATGTCTAAAGTGATAACAAAACAGGTGATTTTGATGACATTTTAAGATTATATGGACTCAGTCTACAGAGTATTTCTTAGATCACAGTAACGCTAGTTAACACAGAAAAAGCCAAAGCAGCAAAACCACTACCAGATTACAGCTGTGTTTGCGACAAGGAGAAACATTAAATACACATGCGGGCATTTCTTCTTTATTTCTTTTACTGAACTAGTCTGCAGTAACGAAAGCAGGAAACTCAATAGAAACAAACAGATGGCCAACCAAAAACTCATGGTTATGCATGGTTATATGTGAGTCATCTTACACACAATACACTACATTTATACAACATACAAAAGAGAGAGATCGACTCAGAAAGTCACCTACCAGTTTAATAATAATTTGATCAACTGCTGTTATAAATTACTCTGTTTTTATCCTCTAAGGCTTTTTATGCGGTCTCTGTTGCCATCTTTTAGATGAACAACACCAACCGTCTTTGTTCTGTTCAGACATAGGCTAATGGCCGCCGGTGTGCTGTCTCTCAGAAATGATAAATAATTAAAATAGGTTCTATACTTATAAATTAACAGCAATATAAACAACTACATTATCACCTAAAAAAGATTCAAAAGTACTTTATGTTGTCCAACAGCAGCAATATTCGTCAAACTGTAGAGTGTCCTCTGCTTGTTGCTGTATGTGGGCGAAATAATACACAAGGGTGAAGGGTTAAGAGGCTGCACGAGTGCTGTTATTTGCAGACTATCACACGGCTATAAGCCAGTCAAATTCAAAACCTGATAAAAATGTTATATAGATAGATAGATAGATAGATAGATAAATAGATAGATAGAAGTGCCTTTATTTTATAAGTAAATATATGTGGTTAACAGTAAAATACTGTTTTAGAGCACTACTAGGATGATATTCACCTTATTTTTCGCCGACGAGCGGGCGCAGCCATTTGAATCTTTTTGGCACGAGACTTCCGGTCTCATTCACTTCCATTCATTTTTATACATTAAAAACTGCTCGTTTCGCTGTTTGATGTTGCAAACTGATATTTCCTTGTTATATTATTCTACTTGGTCTGTATAGTAATGCAAACATTTGTTTGTAGAGCAAGTAGTTTGACTGTTTTTTGCCGTTTATTATTCCTAGTCATTTCTCCCATTGGCGACTGAATCGGAAGTTCTAAGACAATCGCGAAAACAGGCGCACTTCCGCATTTTAGAATAAGGTCAATAGCCACAACTAATAGCTGTACAAATTTTCACGATGATGTTATGCCTGAGAAAGGTATTTATACATTGCATTTAAAAGTGAAAAACAGAGCATGCTGCATTTAATTCAATTTCATTTCAGACAATTTAGATTTTATTTTTTATATACTTAAAAAAATATATATTATAGTAAATACTATAATGTTTTTGACAACAGTAGTGAATTATATTGTATATATTATAGTTTTCACAACTCTTGGTTAAGGAGTGCTGCAGTATACAGGGAAACTGTAATAAATACTGTAGCATACTTTAGTTTTTACTGAAGTAAAGTGTTGTAGTATAATATTCCCATTATAGTTTTAAGAAACTACAGCATTTGGTCATTTGTAGTAGTATAGTTGCTGTGTTACCATATAGCAACTAAAGATTTACCTCAACAGATTAATTCAAGAATTTTTCTATAGTACTGTTCAAAAAACACTATAGTATATTTACTATAAATTACTATAGAATTTTTCATGTGGATTTACATTTACAATAACAATAAGATACTAGTATCACAGCACATAATCCTTTTTTGGATAGAATGCAAATGCACTTCAAGATGAGTTTCTTTTTGGCTTATTCAATTCATCTTTATTTCTTTAGCGCTGTTACAATGTAGATTGTGTGAATGCAGCTTAACATAGAAGATTATAGTAAATTAAATAAGTAAATAACTTATGATAGATTATTTTGTTTATGAACTGTTCTCTAATTTTAATTTCCACTGTATTCTGTATATACAATGTGAAGCTGTAAAACTCCTTATGTTGTCTTTTTTAGTTAAACACATTGGTCAATCAGTATTACCGTAGTGAATAAGAATGTCCATTGCTTCTGCTTGTGCGTACTCCGCAGCAATCCCTATGGCCGTCACTCCGTGCTCGTTTGTCTCCGAAACGTCTCCTCCGTGTTGTAGCAGGAGCGTGAGGATATCAGTGCAGCCCACCTTGGCCGCCTCATGAACGGCTGTCCACTGTTTAGGACAGACTTGGTTCACCGATGCCCCTCGTGATAGAAGTGTAAAGGCGATTTCAAATGAATCTGTTCTTACAGCTCCAAAACAAAATAGGAACTTATTATAAAAGTACTAAAGACATTACAGTGGTTGCAAATGAGAGCCTACCCAACAGTAAAGGAGATTCATTTTTGCTGTTGATCCTGTTTGGTGAAGCTCCATGTTCTAGTAGAGTCCTAACGTTGTCATCCAGCCCAGCTTTAAGCGCCAAAATCAAGGGTGTTTCTCCATCTGCGGTTTCCTCCTCTAAACTCAACCTGTAAGAAGCTAAGTATATAATGAATATATTTGATTTGAAAGTCATTCAGTCTTTTTTTATATTCAGTGATAAAGCTAGCGTCACTGAATCATTCACTTAAGCGATTTATACAGTGGCCGACAAAGCTTAACGTGCTGTAATTTAAAAAACAAGTGCAATTACAAAAAAAACGCCAGCAAACTGAGAAAAGATCTTCATCAGTTTGACAGCACACATGCTGCAAATCGTCACAACAAACACATTAAAAAAAAAAAAAAAAAAAAACGGGCTGCATTTTCATAAAACGTAAACAATTATCAAAACACGCTGCATTTTCTCACAACACAAAAAAATGGAACACAACGGAAATGTTTCAAGGGGACCCAACAACTTGACAAATGCCACTTTGCCGTTACTATGGCTGTTTCTCAATTCCAAAAACGCAGAGAATGGCCTTGTGTTCTTGTGGAGACCGGTCTTGCCAGGTCACCTCGGAAGAATGAACTCGAGAGACTGCGAGAACACAGAATGTGTCCTGTAAGAAATGAGATGCTGTGTTCTTCTTGATGGTCACATGACTATTATGCATTTCATCATTCATTCATTCATTTTGTTTTTGGCTTAATCCCTTTATTAATCTGGGGTCACCACAGCAGAATGAACAACAAACTTATCCAGCACGTGTTTTATGCAGCGGATGCCTTTTCGCATTTATAACAAAAAAATCATTTAAACATTACATCATTCATACAATGATTTAATATTTTATTTAATAATACGTTGCACAATACAAATAAAAAAGATTTTAAATTTCAAACAGATTTCAAATTTCAGCAAATAAACATCCTTAATAAACATCCTTAAATAAACATCCTTAAATTATGATTTTCATGCTGATGTTTACTTTCACAGTTTCATTTAGGGAAACCCCTGAGGTAAACAAGTTATATCTCTGTACTTTAATAATAAATCTATCCATAATTCTGTGCTTCCCACTTCCTTTAACCCGCCGAAAGGACTTCTGGAACTTCTCGAGCGAGTTCGATGCTCAAGTCTGCATCATCCAAGTCTACATCATCCTTCCTACCAAGAAAACATGCGGGAACATTCACACGTCCTCCATTCTTGCAGTCTTTTGGAGTTTTGGAACAGAACTTTGGCGATTGATGATGACATTACATTAACACAAGGACGCAAGATCGCTGAAGAACACATATTGAGAAACAGCCTGTTGCTCAGTGAAGTTGTAGGTGATCTTTGAAATGTGAGTTTTTTATGTGTTTATTTTAATAACCATAACCTGAAAAGCCGGGTCCGTCACTTTTAGGGTCTCTTAGAAACATTTTCATTTTGTTGTGAGAAAATTCAGCAATTTTTGTAATTTGTTTGCTGTCAAACTGATAAAGATCCTTTATCAATTTGCTGGCATTTTTTGTAATTGCGCGTTTTCTTAAATTGCAGCACGTTAAGCTCTTTCGGCCGAGGTAGATTTAAACCCACCAAGCAATTTGTTTAAAAAAAAAATAGACATCAAAACATAGATGTTTAGCTTAAATTTGAGCAGTTACCTAAAATCTAACTATAGTCCAATAATAGACAAAAAATGTGTTTGACAGCTTACACCTCAAAAATGTTTTTTTTTTACTTAAAAAAACTTACTTTTCTAGACAAGCAAAAAAATGGTTTTGTTTTCAGAACTAATTGTAAAGCTAAACTCTCATTCTGGCATAATAATCAAATATTCTGAAGGTGTGCCGTAGCACAATGATTTTATGGTAAAATAAGGGTCTAATCTGATTCAATGATCTATGCTAAGCTAAAAGTGCTTCCAGCAGACCTGAAGAATGTTGAATCAGCTGAATGTATTAAAAAAATGTAAAACTCAACTATTCAACTCTAGGTGCTTGTAAAATAAGCCTATAAAAAAGTGTTTTGATTTCATGTTTTACATTGAAATAGATTAATTTAAAGAGGCTGTGCATAAATTCAAATTTAAAATTTGAGTTACCTGTTGTAATTGAGTTATTTGTCGATCTGACAAATTTTAATTGGATGAACATTTTTTAATCTTATGCCTTACCCAGAATATAAAAATACATATAAATACATTTAGATCCTTTTCATTAATCATTGGAATTTGAAGAGACTTTCAACCAGCACAACAACAACAACAAAAATTCTTAAGACAATCAACTACTGCACCTTTTAAGCAAGCTTAACATCCAAGACTTTTTGGTGTTCCACTCTGGATTAGTTTGCATGAAAGAAGTAGATGGTGATATCATAATGTTTTCTAAGACATTTTTGCTTTATTTCGAGATTCCTAAAGGCAACTTTGTATATTAACGTTGCACCTCCCGGGAGAGGGGATTACTGCACGATTCCTCAATGGTCAATTGTATTGCAAAAGCTCATCTTGCTCATCTAGGTCACCTGATGGATCCATTTCTCTCGAGGTAAATGGAGTTGTCGTTGTTTTCAAAAATAATGTACCAACATTTTTTGAGTTTTCCTTAAAACAAGTGAGATAATCTGCCAATGGGTTAAGCTAAATAATATTTTTTTTGTTTTGACATAAGATTATTTCACTTACCCGATGAATTATTTTAGTTGTTTTAAGGAAAACTTAATTTTGACAATAATTCTTAAAACAAGACCATATTTTTGCTCGTCTAGAAAACCCTTTTTGATTTAAGAATATTTAGATATGTGGGCTAGAAACAAGGCAAAAAATCTATGTTAAACAAGGCAGTGTAGTTAAAGTATGTGTAGTAACTTGCTATTTCAGAAAAGCATTCCCAACGCTGGTATAATTCTCATTTTCTTTTTTATTAGTGGTCGCCACAGCGAAATGAATCACCAATTATTCTGGCACATGCATTAGTAATGCATGCCCTCCCTGCCACAACCAAATAATCAGTGTGCACTTGCTCATGCAACCACTGAAGCACACACACCAGGCTTCTGGGAAACACACACACCAGGGCCAATTTACTTTATCCAATTCGACTATACTGCATGTTTTTTGGTCTGTGTGTGGAAGCAGAGCACCCAGATGAATGCCTTACAGATGGGTGGAACATGCAAACTCCACATAGGCTAAACACAGAGCCACCGTGCTTTTCTCAGAAGCCACCTTAAGGAACTCAAAATTAATTTCTCATTTGTTGTTTAAAAACATATAGCTTCTTGTATGCTTTAGCATTAGAATGTGTGCTTTAGCTCACCATAAAGTACCATCTCCAGCACCTGCACTGACTGCTGGATAGCAGCTCTATGGATTGGGTACCACCCCTTGGTATCCATCTCAGTGAATGCAGCAGGATAATCTGACAGTTCTTGCAGAGCAAAGAGGTCACCTGTGGGGCCAGATGAGAGCATTTTGCACTTTTCTTCTTCATTTTTTAATAATAAGAGCGTCTTACCAACATAGCTATTTATCTCTACTAAAAAGTAACACCACTTTTTTTTTTTTTTTTTGAAAATAGACTCATTTAGATACCCAGACATTCTGACGCTGTGCCATATGACACAATAATAGGATGGGAAACATGCTAATCTGATTCAATGATCTATGCTAAGCTAAGCTAAAAGTGGTTCCGGCAGACCTGGAGATCATCTGATTGGATTTAAAAATTGTAAAACTCAACTATTCTAACTCTAGGTGACTTGTAAAATAAGCCTATATGAAAAAAAAAGTGTTTTGATTCCATGTTTACGTAGAAATTAATTCAGTTAAAGCAAGCATAAAATCTGAAAGGAAGTATCACCTCGGAATATTGCATCCAAGACTTTTTGGTGTTCCACACTGGATTTGTTTGCAGGACAAAAGTAGATGGTAATATCATAATGTTTTCTAAGACATTATTCCAAAAGGCAACTTTGTATATGAACATTGCACCTTCCGAGGGAGGCGATTTCTTTGCAGGATTCCTCAATGCTCAGTTGTATTGCAGCATCAAGAAGCTCATCTTCCTCATCTAGGTCCATTTCTCTGGAGGTGAATACAATCTTTTATAGAAGCATGTAATGATCACTTTGTTTAGGTTATGTGTTTTTTATGTCAAGTGTTATATTACAACCAATACCCAAAATTCTCAGAACATTTTAATATGACACTCACTGTATGAAAGGTTGAAGTGGACGGTCAGTTTCCAGAAAGACACTTCTGCTGCACTTACAGCGAATTCAATTCTTTTTCAAGGTAGTTGTTTTCACAGAAACATGAATATTTTTTTACAGTTCTAACAGCTGAACACGCAGGATTCAACATTTATACACCACAAGAAACTAACTTTATGTTAGTTTCAAAGAAAGGCTGAACTAGGGCATGCACAAGCGACACTTCATCTGCCACTTCGAATGAATCATTCACGCTTCGCTGAACAGTAAACAAAGGCTGTAATCTCACCTTGTGAAACACAGTTCCAGGGAAATCACGCGTCTCGTACTGCTGTGCCAGTACTTTAGCTGCACCCAATCTGAACTTGAGTGTCCCACTTCCCATGCCCAAAACAGCAACAGACATGCGTCTAAATTTGGCCTTCACCTGCTCTGGCCTTCAAGTCAAAAGACAAATGACCTATTTTTTTTTTTTTTTTTTTTATGAATTATTATAGTGTGTTTTTTTTAAATGTGTAAATAGTCTGTAACTTAATTTTGAACTGAAATGTATATACATACAGTTCATACAGATTATTAACTCTTATTTATTCTTTAGAGCATGACATGACTGAGAACAGATTTTTTTTAAATATGAGTTTTAATAACTAATTTCTATTAACTAAATTATTTTGTCTTTGCTATTATAAGGGGGCTAATAATATGGCTCTTTAAGTTTGTTTTTTACTGCAGCCAAACGGTTAAAGTTTCCATAAAACATCCTTTTTTAAAATGTATTTTAATAAATAACAACAATATTTTAATGAATAAATAATTTTCATTTATTTTAAATAATTTTTTTTATGTTAATACACCAAAAAAATTAAAAATTCAACTTTTGTATACAGTCTTAAGGCATAGCTCAGAGTACAGTAGCTTATATACTGTGTGCAGTGCAGGTATGACTGTACAGCTGAGGAAATCCCAAAGTTACTGCAATGTAACATCCATGAGGTCAATGAATAACTCGAGAAGGAATCTTGGAAAATCTCAAAGAAGGAACCTTAGGGAAAAAAAAGCTTAATCTTTTACAGCTCTTGGGCAATGTGTTTTTGGTGTGCACGGTCAAAAGGAATGTATAAATGAATAAAAAAGCTGCTTAATGAAAGAATAACTATGAATGTGAGTAGAAATATAAATCAGTTTACAAATTAACAGTACAAAGATGTTTATGTAAAAGAGCCTTTGCATGATTTATTAAACTGATTATAAAATGGACGCAGGATAACAGACGGACGGAGATTAAAAATAAAGCTTTGTTCTGACTCAAAAGCTTCTAGAAGGAAGCATAAATGACAGCGCAACAGGCTTGATGACAGTACAATAGCACTGACAAAGTGAATATAAATACCACAGACGGTTATCAAATCATTTAATCACTGGGCAATACACAGGATACACCATGGTGCGTGAAAATAATTAACATCATAAAAGGCTATTTGTGTTGGGAAATAATAAAGTACCTAATACAGGAAGGAAGGAATTTGGTATCGTTTATTCAGTTAGTCTTTATATAACTAAACATTCAATGAAAAAACATTTTTTAATTTAAAAATATTCACAAATTCTTATTTTTTAAAGCTGAAGATACTTAAGTTTACTTATTAGTTTAAAGTCTGCATGAACCGTGTGTTGCTAAGACTTTTATTTCAGTATGTTGATGTGCTTCCACCTGAAACGTAGTATTAAGTAGGGGGTGGGGCTTTCATTTTGCACATCATTCCCTCATAACAAACTAGCAGTTTCTTTGGAAGCCCTTAGGTTGATGTACTTACTGAAATGACATATTGAGTAGGAACTGGAGCTTTCTTTTTGCGCATATTTCACTAATAGCAATCTAACGGTAAGAGGTCCCAAACAAATTGTTAATCCACTGAAAAAACAACACTTTGTTTTGGTCCTCTTGAGCTAGCAACATTTTACTTTACATTTAAAATGACCCAAGTTATGTTTAAAGTTAGTAAAAATTTCCTTGCAAACACAAAGAGTATGTTGATGAGTGTGAGCTTGTGAACATGTGATAAAATAATTCCCCAGCAAACTGTACAATCCGATTCAATGTCACGCGAGTTCTGAACAAACCATTGCAAAAGTGATACTATTTTTTTATCAATAGTTGATCATGTTTTTCATGCAAGAATGTAACGTTTCAAAACTTAAATCTGTGGTTTATTTCTAAAGATTGTGTCATTTTAAATGAGTTGATAGCTCAGATTTCTAACCAACCAGGTGTGTTTAACAGTCTTTGGTTTCATGAATCAATTATTTTTCTTATAGTTTATTACGTTTGGCTAAGCATAAAATTGTTAATCCAAAGATCTCATATTTCCATGTTAATCTTAAAATTTAAATAAAGGTGCAGTAGTGCAACCAAAAATGTTGTTTCAAACCTGGATGATTTTTTTCAAGTTATTTTTGAAGATGTTGGAAACCAAATTGCTTTTGGGGCTGCAACAACATTCCTTAAAAAAAAAAAAATATATATATATATATATATAGTAATAATAATAAAAAAATATGTATTTCAGTATGTTGATGTGCTTCCACAATTAAAGTAAATGATCTACATGTGTTTATATCTATTTTTATACTCTGGGTAAGACTAAAAATGATCATCCAATTAAATAATAAATATTATATAAATATAATATAAATAATAGTAAATATTGTCGGGCCGACATCTCCCATAATTCCATTAGCCCAAACTGTCTGTCAGCAAATGTACATGCATTTACAACATGTGCACACGAGACAGTCACAGTCACGGTAAAATCAAATGCTGAATTGAAACTTCTGAATCAATCCTGAATCAAAATTGGAGTTACTTTTGCACGCTGGAGGAAAAATGACACCATGGCTAAAGCAATTCTTGTAGACATGTAATGTTAAAACTAAATTAGTCCCCTAAAGCTGATTTCAAGAGTTCACACTTAGATATTGCTTGACGACTGTAAGCAGGTTTGGCATGCTGTCCCGGGAGAGAACCCTGAGCTCGGAGATAGTTGAGCCCAGGGCTCCCGCCAGTTCCATAGAGCATGTAAGGGGAGTACGAGATCAGGTGGTTCTCGAGAGCTCCCCTTTTTTAAAGGGAGGAAAGGAGGAGATAGGGGGTGGATGGGGGGTTTCTTCGGAAAACGAAGATAAGGGAGTAATATCTAGCTAGGCTATTTATAGTAATTTGGAATAGATCTTATTGGCTAACTAATGAGTGTAGATAGGCGGCCAGCTGCGGTCAATTATATCACGTGCTCCTCTCGAAATTAGTTTAAAAACTTCACTTCAAGAGTTCACACTTAGATATTGCTTGACGACTGTAAGCAGGTTTGGCATGCTGTCCCGGGAGAGAACCCTGAGCTCAGAGATAGTTGAGCCCAGGGCTCCCGCCAGGTCCATAGAGCATGTAAGGGGAGTACGAGATCAGGTGGTTCTCGAGAGCTCCCCAAATGCATGAAGCTCGGGACAGCAGCCGTGTATTCGAAGAAACTGCCCAAAAGGCTTGAAATGCTATATCCGGCTGCTGGATATAGTTATTTGCAAGGAAATGTAAAGAGGGCTCCTTGGAGCAAAGGGTGAAACAGGTTCCTGCGGGAACCCGAGCAGAGTTGGCTTGGGCTGTGAATACTCTTGCTGGAGTAGAGACTCGGGGAGACCCCTGCGGGGGTCAGAGCCATGGGGTGGGCGGGAATCCTGCTGGAGTCATTACAAGGGAAGGGGAGTGAAGGACTCCGGCTGGAGAGGGGGGTGAAGGGGGGCAGGGGAGGGGCGGGGACTCCGAAGGAGTAATTGCTCGAGGAACACTCCTTGCGGAGATAGAGCTGGGAGGTGGCAGCACTATATATAATTATATATTTATATGAAACCTATAGATATATAAATATATAATGGGGTAATCTAGGGCCTTGGGGGGGGCGTTTTTTACTGACTCTTGAGAGAGTCGAAGCTCTTGGCTCTCCTGCGGGAGAGAGAGCTGTATGTGCCATCTCCAGCTGGAGTCGGGAAAAGGAATGGTCGGTGAAGCCCCAGCTGGAGGGTGAAATGGCAGTTGGGCGATGACCCCTGCGGGGGTCCGGTGCTCGGGATTAACTCCGCGGGAGTTAGAGCGTGAGGGTGACAGCACTATATATAAATATATATTTATATGCGTGGGTGCATATATATATACATATATATAAATAAATTTAAAAAATAAAAGATAAATGTGAGAAATAAACAGAAATAAATGAATAAAAGCTAGGGCCGGGGAGGGTCGGTGACATGGCTAGTGTCACAGCTCAGGGCTGGGTGAGCTATTTGGCTGGCTCCAGTAGGAGTCTGGAAAGATGAGGGGAAGGTGAAGACTCTTTCTGGAGGGTGACGGGCGGTATAGGTGCTCTGGGGGTGTTCCTGCGGGAACAGAGCGTGAGGGTGACAGCACTATATATAAATTCATATTTATATGCGTGGGTGCATATAGATGTGAATTTATACAAATAAAATCAAACAAAGAGAAAATAAATAGTGCTATACTATATGTCATTGAAATTACATATAATATAAAAAGCTAAGGCCGGGCCGTGAGATGATTCCTGCGGGAATCGAAGCTCGGGGTAACGCCCCTGCGGGGGCCAGAGCCATGGGGGGGGCGGGGTCCTACAGAAGTTAGAAAAGTTGATGGGCAGTGAAAACTTCTGTGGCAGCGGCCAGGGGGGGCGGGGGTGACGGGGGGGCCTGGGCAGGGAAAGAACTCTTACTGTAGTTGGGTGAGTGAAAAGGGGGAGAAGGCTGAGTGCAAATCAGCTGGAAGGAAGAAAAGAAATTAGATGGCTGGGTCATGCCCGCGCCCTTGAGAGACTTGGTAGTTCCTCTGCCCTCGGGAAGCTGGTATAGCTGGGTTGTGTTCTTTCCTTGTACTAGGCTCGTGCCTTTGGCCGCTGGGATAACTGCAACGGCTGGTGAGAGTCCTCTGGGCTTCCCTGAGATGACTGTGGCTGAGTCGGATGTAGGTTTTGAAGGCGTCAGAAGACCACCTTCCTAGTGTTTGTATGTGTTGTTGTGATAACCCTTTGTGTGCTGCTGTAGTGGCGGCTCCAATTCTGAATGAGTGACTGGAGTATGATTCTGATGGGAAGCCTGAGTTGGTTAGGACATATTTAAGGTGTTTTTGGAACCAAAAGCGTGTCACTGGGTGGTGTGTGTCGTCTATGAAAAGGGGGTCTAGGGGACTTGCACTTAGTGTTTTCCTGTAGTGTGTGTAAGCTAGAAGAGTTTGGAATGGGCTTGTGGGGGAGGGAATGTTGAATATGTAGATGCAATGTCCCTTTCTGGACTGATCTGTTTTACTTTGCTTAATGAGGAAAGCAATTGTTTCCTCATCAATCAAGGTCAGATCTGCTATAGTAGGGTGGATAG